TCCCTCAGAGAGAAGAAACATTTTTGTTTACTGCTGGTAAACAGAGCTTTCTGTCTCCGCTTACATTTTAATAGCTTTCCTTCACAGACAGTCTGCAAAGCTACAGGTCAGCCAAAAAGGCCCCACACTGGAAGACCCGGCTCACTCAATTAGACTCAGGGTGAGGCAGAGAGACAGACTGAACTGAACGTTTCACAGCACAATGAAGCTCATACTGAATGGAGTCACAGACACTCAATATAAGAGAGGAACTAGAAAAGAAAAAACTGCATACATTACATTAACAGAATGTGTATTTGCACCTTGTTTATGTTATCTGAGTAACAGCTGATATGGATATAAAGGACACAGAAGTTGTTTCATATTCATTAGAAATGCGGCGGTCTCCCTTCACCTGCACGGAGCCGCTGGTTCTCTCCTTGTGCTTCTTCCAGCTGTTTCTTCAGCAGCTGCAGCTGTCCCAGCAGCTCCGTCTTCTCCTGTTTCAAGCGGGAATAGTCGCTTGTACTCTCTAGACGTTCTTTTAATAGCTCCTTCTGTTGAGTCAGCAGAGATATTTGCTGCTGTGCGGTTTCTAGCTCAACCTGGGAAAACAAACAATAGGTGGAATATGAATATAGAACTTAGAAAACATTTCAATAAACCACCAAGCCACAGAAGATTGACTGTGTTGTAGGAATAACCAAAATATTTCAAATTAAATATTAATTTGATAAACTAATACCTGAAGTCTTTTCAGTTCTATGCACGCTCTGTTGTATTCTTCTCGTCTGGATTCAATCAAATCAGACTCCTTTTGGATTCGAGCCGTTTCCACTGGAAAAATAAAAAATGTTGTGAACATTGAGAAAATGAATTAATCATCAAGCTGGTAATTTTTCCAGGAGGAAGTGAAATGCTTGCCTTTGTTTCGGCTCTCACTTTCAGTGAGTTTTTCTGTTCTTTTGAGGAATTCCTCCTTCAGCTCAAGCTGGTAACTGGAATTATAGAAAGCAGGAGGTCAGGAGGTGACAAAGATGAAGAACAATCGCTTTAGCACAAAGTCAAGTCAATGTTTGCTGATACTATAATAGGAAAGCCATATTTCTCCTATCCCAGATTTGTAAAATTTTATGAGATAACGGTACATTTAGAGTATCACATTAGAATTTCCCAAAATTATTATTTATCTAATTTTCTCAGTATTTATTTGAGCTCCTCTTTTTTCCTCGGAGGGCTGATAAGTCAACATACAATTTCCCTTCACAATTATAGTTTTAGAGACTATAATTAGGTGCAAACTAAGAATTTATTGTGGATTTTCTATAATTTCTTCAGGGTTTACTTTATATAAAGTTCAAATAAATGAATACACCTCAACTAAATATTTGGTTAAATGTTTCTTAGGAAGATGCAGAAAAACCACATGGTTTTTATAGTCAACAGCCAGCTTCTGGTGTAATTCTGGCTAGATACTTGATCTCTCTTTTTGAAAAAAATGTTAAAGTTGATGTAAATGTGTTTTTTTTCCAGGACCAGACCCAGCTTCTACATTACTTGTGGACATATAGTCCACTATTTTTAATAGGATTGGTCCATAGCTTAATATTACTTGACTAATTGTTATAAAATCTTTGTTGATGATGCATGTAAATTTATGACTGTATTGGCTTTTAACACCAAAAGCATTCATAGAAAAAAAAAGACTTCTGTGTAAGTTATTAGTTTATAATTTTAGTATAATAAAGCTCATGATGAGAAATGGTTCAAAAAAGGTAACAATATTACATCAAGTCAACCCAACAGTGACATCAACTGTTAGCAATGCTAAGCTTAAATCTCGTAGCTCCCTTTTGTTGGACTTTAAGTGACCTAAACAAAGCCAGATTGTGTTTTTCTTGAATAAAAAAATACCTTGAAAGTTCATTCTTCAATTTCTGGTCGTACGTGTCCTCGTTTGTCTTTACAGCCAGTTCTCTCCTCCTCAAAAACTCTTCAGTAGCTCTCATCTTCTCTGCGTGAATTTCACAAGACCTGACATTGACATGAAACAAAACAATGAATCAGTGACTGAAAAGAAATTCTTAAAAAAAAAGTCTCTAAAAATATCTTACTTTTCAAAAGCCTCCATTCTCATCCTCAACTCATTTTCTCTGCAGCGTAGCGTTTCGATTTCTTTCAGCAGTGATTGTCTATGCATGTAGACATTTTTTTCTTCAATCTAAGAAAAACAGAGTCATTAAAGGATATTTACACTAACAGTCAAAAGAATTAAACAAAGTCTGCAGAATTGGAAATATTTAAGAATGCAAACGGTTTTGACGTCTAAAGTCAGTGACTTAGAAGTCAAAGTTTCAAAAGTCAGCAATAATTCTTTTTTAAGCAGAAAAAGACATCTTGCTGTATTGATGACATTCTTGTTGTTTACTCAGATAAATCTGTGGGCATTTCCTTTTCATCCCCCCTCCCACAAACATCAATGTGCAAATTTAGCTCACTGAATGGACTACTCATTCTAATATATTTTTTTGTCAACACTGGACAAATATACAAGGGTTCTGATAAGTATTTAACATGTTTGGATTAAACTTGGAGCAGGTGTATCAAGTGCAGGATTAGGCTGATAAAAGATCAATCGTTAAAACAATAAAAAAAAAAAAAAACTGCTGAAAGAGAGCTGAAAAAAACTTAACTTTCTTTGCTCATCGTAAAGAAATTGTCTAACTTTGTCTGAGATTACCCAGCAGAACCTTGAAAGCAAAGCAGCGTACACGTTATCTTTTGAGAATGAGGTAAAAGAAGTTTCTTGTCTATGCAGCCGTTCACATTTATCTCAGGCTGACATCACTGGTGAAAAAATATTAACCCAGCTTCTAAAATGCATGTCATATGCCAAAGATTTTGAGTATTTGAAGAGAAAGTGCAGAGAAAACCAAGTTATTATGAGTTTCTTACCTCTTGCTGTTTTTGCAACCTCTCGATGGCATTTTTCTCTCGGTCCATAAGTGCTTTTGCCCTCATTTCATAAGTCCTCTCCAGTTCTTGCTTTAGCTTTTCAAGTTCCTGATTAAACTTGGCTTTTTCATCCATTCTGACCTTAGCTATTTCAACCTCTTTGAAATGTTTCAGCTGAAGAAATGACACAATGTAACAGCATAAATGATATAAAACAAAAACAACCCAGGGTATTAAATTTCATTCTACATGTTCATATGTGCATACCTTTGTGTTCATTTCTGCTTCCTTCTGTGCTTCAATCTCTTTTTTATATGCATCCAGTTTTGACTGGAGTGGAAACATTTTGTCTTCACCTAAACTGGAGTTCTCATATTGTCTATCAATCATTTTCATCATGTCAACTGGGAACAGAAAGGAAAATAACTGTGATTAATACTAAATTATAAATGCTTGAAAACAATGAAAAAGGCAGGTAATATATAGAAGTTCATCCTACCGAGGGACTCTCCATAACTTGCTGAGCTGGTTGTCTGAGTGTGGACGTCATTACGGAGGTTGTGTGTTGAATGGTGTGTCATGTTTTTTAAAAGACTGAACAGGAGCCCTGCAAGACACGACCTTTATACTGACGAGAAGACTTGGGTGCAGAAGAAGTTTGAATGAAAGATAAAGTCACTGGACGTACCTTTATCACCATCTTCTTTATTTAGCTGTTTAAAATTGATAATATTAATATTAAAAAACAGCTTCATTGTTAATTTGATTATATCTTACATTTACTGTGGTTAGTCACCGTAGATGTGAGAAAGGTGGACGAAGGGCTGAATTTAAGAATCTGAATAAGGTCTTCTTTCTTGAGAATCTGCCAGAATTGAGCAGAATTGTCATTACAGCTACAAAATTCAGTGTACTGTACCACATAATTGTAAAATGATGCAAGATTTTAAAAAAAAAAAAAAAGTGTGACTTGCATTTGCAGTCAGCACTCTGGTGTCAACTCTTATTTTGTTGCAAGGTAAGTCTGATTGAAAGGATAGCATCGGTGAACCTAAAATATGAAGTACTCCATTTATGAAGTCAGCTTGTTGCAGTGGATTTTATTTAGAGGTGTCAGATGCTGAATGCAAAGGCAAGGACGTTGACATAATTTTATTTGTAAACAAAAAATAAATAAATCCGTACAGAATACATTGGTGGTTGTGACTCATACAATTAAAACTGCAGAAGGGAATAAAAGCAGTCATACACACCTTGTCCTTACACACACCACTCTCGGGGCAGAATACAGAAAGTGTGTACTCATACCCCAGAGTGCGGAGGTGATCGGCTACTATAGTGTTGCAAGCTGAAAGTAAAAGAGTATCGGAGGTCCCGTGTGGTGGGCTGAGATCTGGATTTTGTCCCTTGGAATGTGGACTCTTCAACTCCTGGATCAGCTGATTCCGCAGCTGCACCTGGATCCGAACCAAAGGAGATAATGAACAAGGCACATTAGTGAATAAAGTGACCACACGTGTACGAAGACGAAGTGATGTGACCTCTCTGAGGTTGATGTTACTTACTTTTAGAGTGTCAAGCACTCCTTTGTTTTTAAATGTTTGATAGAGTCTTTTCCTCAGCTCTTCTGGGGATAACGCGTCCTCCTTGGACGAGGACATAACGGTAACAATAAATACGAAAACCCCTCAATATCGACAAATTCCTCAGCTTGTAGAAGACTAGCTTATATGTCCTGAAAACCTAATTTCCGAACAGACGAAGGAGAAATATATTTGTTTTTCAGTTACTGTACAACTCAGAACAATCGATCCGCTCCCTTTAACGACGCGAACCCAAAACATTTAAACTCACCAACGGAAATTCTGCGGTGGCGCACATCTATGACGCAACCGATTTAAATCCATACTTTTTTTTTTTTAAATAGCTCTAGATATAGCACATTTTCCGTGCATAATTTTACACATACCTAATTTAGTAACGTAATTTTAAAATAGTATGCTCCAAAAAATAATTTAAAAAATACAAAATAAATTTAAATATATATTTTTTTTCAATGTCGTCATCTTTTTGCGACTACGCTTTCACATCTTCAGGAAGTGAGTTTAACAGGTAAAGAAAAACTGGGTTATCGCTTGAAAATATACGTCTTTAATTTGACTTCGGACTTTAATTTGGATCCTGTTTACTTTGATGGCGAAACAGTCCCTTAAAGAATCGTTTGCGTTGTCTGTTTCGTTCAAATGTGTACATGTCATTTCGTAAGTCTCGAAAGATCGTTTGTTTGATTTTGTTTTGCTTTTTTCTTTCATTACAGGGCATATTTCGATTTGCTGAGAAAATAACTATACGATGTCGGGGAGCTTTTACTTTGTTATGGTCGGTCATCATGACAATCCTGTGTTTGAGATGGAGTTTTTACCAACCGGGAAGCCTGAATCAAAGGTAATAATAAATACACTCGTCCCTTAAAAATGATCCCAACTGCCTTAAACAGAAATATTTTTAAATAAGACTCGCTAAGATATATCATAAATAATAAATTCAAACAATTCTGTTGAGTATTAAAATGCAGGTACCTGGCTATCCGAGGTGTATTGTGGTGTCACGTGACGTTTGTTCTGGGCAATTAAACTGAAAAACAAACAAATCTGATAAGGGAAACTTGTATGTCTACATCTAAATATATGTATATATTGTTTTTTTTTTCAAAAACAATTTGAAAAATACAAAATAAATTTAACCAAGTTGGAATGTAACCGAGTTGGAAAAAATGTGAACATTCTGAGATTGATATGTTTGTTAGCAACAGTTTTCTTCCTGTTTTTTTTTTTTTGGTGTACTAAAATATTGCACCAACCCTGACACTGAAAACAAACAAACAATGTATGTGATGGTTGTGATTTGGAATCCGTATTGTTGTTGTTTTTGTACGTTCATGTCTCTTTGCATCAAGCAGACATTGGATGCCACTAACTGTTCAGTGTCAGTTTGTATTTCAAAATGCAGGAAACTGAACATAAAGTTTCACAATATCTGTTGCTTACTTTCGTTATTAAACATCCTATTTCATAGTTTGTTGTTTTATATATGCATTACAATCTACAAGCTCTGCAAATAGAAAATGAACAGCAAGAGACTTTTACAAAAAGTAACTGAATGCTGTCATAACTTGTCTTAATCATTGGTTTCCTTTTTGTACAGTACAATGTTCTTTCTGAGTTTTAAACATAGATACAGCTCTGTATGCTTTACAGTTGAGCTAATTCTTCTAAAAGACTCTTATAAAGCTGATTGCTACGTTTTCATACTTTTCAAGATTCATGAAAAGTTTTTATATTTCTGATCCTAATTTATTTCATAATATGTGTTTCACTGACCACAGGATGACCATCGTCACCTCAACCAGTTCATCGCACACGCGGCCCTTGACTTGGTGGACGAGAACATGTGGCTGTCCAACAGCATGTACCTGAAAACTGTGGACAAGTTCAACGAATGGTTTGTCTCAGCCTTCGTCACAGCAGGACATATCCTTTTGTGTATTATCTTATCTATTGTTTTTTTCTAAATTTTATATTTAGACATAGTTTTTTGTGTAGTTGGTATTTGGTCTGTTTACCTTTTTTATATGCATGTTTATCATATTTGCCTTGGTTAATTTTCTCTAATTCACTGCCATACAAATAAGATTCATTATGCTGCACGATGTTCGACAAGAAGATGGAATCAAGAACTTTTTTAACGATGTTTATGATTTATACATCAAGGTAAGTTGTGTTCTGTGTGTATTAACCTTAGTTTGATAGGCTGACTGTCTTACAATTACGTCTTATCTTCCAGTTTGCGATGAATCCTTTCTATGAAATCAATGCCCCGATACGCTCAACGGCATTTGAACGGAAAGTCCAGTTTCTTGGAAAGAAACATCTCCTAAGTTAATCATGCCACACCAAGATCTGAATGTATTCTTCTCATTGTATATATAAAAATAAAAAAGTGCTCGTCTGTTCTTTTTCTGTTGCATTCAATAAAAAGTATGACTAAAAGAAATTTGTGTTAAGTGATGGTGATTTTAGTTTCAATGTGACATTTTCCTCTACTCTGGAATAACTTTCATTTAGCTGACAATGAAGCTTGGTTCTTAAAGTAAATTCATAAGAATAAACAAGACTTGTAGTTTAATGCACAATTATGTTATTTCCTGTTCTTTGTTCAAGCATTATTATAGCAAAATCAAAACAGCACAGGCAAATTAGATCTCCCCAGGAAGTTTTTAGTTTAATCTCTAGGACAATAAATTAACTTGCACAGAGTCAATCTTAATGCTACTAACGGGCTGATCAAACCAAGCCAAGTGTTTCTCATTTTAAATACCTATCTGATGAGCCACAATCATATTTTCAAGTATTGTTGCATTGGAAACAATGAAAAAACACCTAGCATCTGTAAGAGTTAATCATTTGTGTATTAAAAATTGGAGGCCTTTAGAATAGTATTCAAATTATTTGTGTTTATTCCAGTTTTAAAGTACCACATACATAAATATTTGACATTATTTGTTGAATTATGTCCCTCTTTACAAGCATTAACATTCTATATTAGTTTTGGTCAGATACACTTGATTTAAATTTTTTTTCTAAAGAATTTCAAGAGCTCATCATGTCAAGAGTGCATTAAGGATTAGTTTTTAAAATAGGGCTGAAAAAAAAAACATTCTTATTTTTAAAAAAATCTAATTTGAACATCATCTAGGCTTCGGAATACAAAAATTTGCAGAAACATGAAGGCTCAAATTTCTCATGCAAGTTATTCTTTAAGTTTATTCCCAGAAGAAAACATGTTCATGGCGGTTTCTCCAACACAACTTTAATTTATGATGCAAATACATTAAGGGGTAGTAATCAAACGTCTCTGTGGTTAATGTTTCTAAAGACGTAATTTAGATCATTCATAATCATTAGAAATAGTTCTTGGGTGATACATATGGTTTTAATATGATGCAATTAAATTCTGTAATTGTGTTGCACAATCACATTTGGAAGCCCGGTAATATTTGCACTCACTTCTAAGCGGTGTGTGTCATTATGACAGCAGAAAACTGGAACATTTATTTTAATGCATAAAGAATTTTAAAACATGCCAAAGCTAAATCAGTGCAAAAGTTCCTCAAGTTCATTTGTAATTGGTCATGAATGGAGTTAGTGTTTCTTGTGCATTCTGGGCAGAAGTTCAACAGTTTGCATCAATGAACCTTGAAGAAATAATAATGATAATTAAAAAAAAAAAAAAGCTAGTAGCATAATTTATTACTACAGCATATTATGCCTACAGCCTCAAAACATGACAGGCATATCAGAGGATTATTAGTGATAGCTTCAAGATTTTATGAACAGCAAGAAGTGGCAGAGCGGGGCTTTCTGTGGAGCTTGACCGTGTCTGTGGGGATGAGGTGATCCGCTTTGTCATCAGCAGCCAGCGCTCTATGGACTGCTTCCTCGAAAGCCACAGCTACATTTGTGGCATCCTTGGCACTGGTCTCAAAGTACGGGTAGTCGCCATTTTCCTGACACCACATCTGAGCTTCCTCTGTCGACACCTGCCTCTCTGTCACGTCCACCTTGTTGCCCAATACCACAAATGGGAAGTTCTCAGGCTCCTTTACATCAGCATAGTAGATGAACTCTTTCTTCCAGTTGTTCAAGTTGAGAAAACTCTGGTTATCATCCACGCTGAAGGTGAGCAGACAGCAATCGGAGCCACGATAAAAAGGAGTCCTCAGGCTACGAAAGCGCTCTTGGCCGGCAGTGTCCCAGATCTGTAGGGTTACCTGACTCCCGTCCACCTCCAGGGTCTTGTTTAGGAACTCCACCCCGATAGTGTGGAAGAGGTGGGCATCAAACTTGTTGGTGACGTACCGATTCATTATGGAGCTCTTTCCAACACCACCATCACCAAGCAAGATGACTTTAAGCAGGGACTTCCTGGCCGTCATGGCTATTAACTACTTATCAAACACTGAGAAACTGTTTACCTAGCAGAGAGATAACACAGGAATTCAATCAGTAAATTACACAATCATCAAAACCGAGTCTCTAAAATAAATTAACATTTCAGGATCATTGAGTTTACTGAGATTTACATGTGAAGACATCTCACTTTATAGCACTAACCCTAAATAGGATAATTGTCATTTATTCTCACCCCAGTTTGACGTTGTCTTCTTCCACTGGGCCAGATCGTATGCTGTTAGCCACAGTATTAGATCACATGCTCATTTGCTTAGTTTTGATGATGGCAGCCATATAGAGAGCATCTATGTATATGAAACACAACGACAAGCAGTCATTTTCCTGGTTAACATAGGCTTCGGGGGAGAAGTCACGGATGAAAATAACAATAAAAACGACCACCGTTAATCTGTGAAGGCCGAACTTGTCGCCATAACGTACAAAAAACATTAACCTCCTGTAAAATGTGGCAACTCATTTTAAAGACAAATTATTCTAGGTCTACGGGCTAGCTAAGCTAAGGCTGTGCTAGGTTAAGTTTAAAATAGATAACAGATGGAAAGGTTAATGAAGAACTAAACTAGCTAACCTTTCTTTACTCACCGAGACGATTTCTCCTGACGTGCTTCGCAGTTCCAGTCAGAAAGCTGCTAAAATAATGGTAGCAATTAAAATAATATTTTTGAATGTGATGACTTCTTTCGTTGGACAACTCAAATAACGTCAGCTCACAGCGTTTCCTGCTCAAGTCCCAGAGGCTGTGCTAATAGAGCAGCTAGCCGCTGGATCATGTGATCTTAATAGAAAAACAACGAGGGCTGCAATAATAACTCAAGCCCTTTTCATCTTCCATACCTTATATTTATATTTATCTGCGAGAATACTCGATGCCACAGTTTCCTTAAAAAAAAGTAAAAAATTATCGTTCGCTTTCTTTACTTAATTTACACCGATAGCAAACACTACTTTTCTTGTAGGTTTTTGTAGTAATTCTGTTTGACCGCTAGATGGTGACATATAGGCAATGTCTGTACTCTGGAGTGCTAAGATGTTACAAAAGGTCAAGCAGAAGCATTTAACCGCCTTGAATACTTTCAGGTGTTGTCATTTTATAGCTGAAAGCTTTAACTGTTGTTACCTTGGGCAAGACGGTTCACCCGCATTCTGTACTGGTTTTGATCGGCGGGCCCAGTGACGAAGCATCTTTCTACCCCAGGGTAGCTGTGGGTACAATGTTTCCTGTGGAAATAGTTCCCTGCATAACACATCCAGTTTGTCTTAGAGTTCTCAGTTTTGTAGTTCGAAAACATTAGTAAACACGCTGTATAAGGAAGATCAAAATGCATGCCAGATAAATCTCAAATAACCCTGTGCGGTAATTTAAAGTGGTAATAGGTCATAAGACAATATTCTAAACTTCAAGAAATTCACAGCGTACTCTTTAGTCCATCACTCTAAAACCTAACTGAAAATGTATGACACAACTGGGAAAGCCTAAGAAGATATAGAACTCCACTTATATTGATGGGCTGTACAAGAGAAGCAGCTATGCTCATAACAACTCTGAAGGAGCTTCAAACAAAGATACAGTGCTTTGGTAGAAGAACAAAATCTGTTGACAGAATAACTATAACTTTTGCATTCCAGAAGTGTTGCGTTTCTGAAAGAGTGCAAGATTGGAAAATTTTTGAAAGAAAACCATACAGAGTATTTGCTACAAGCAATATGGGGACACATCAAACATCTGCAAGAAGGTAATCTGGTCTGATAAGAATCATATTTATTTTTTGGGGGGGCTACCAAACCTTGCTTGTCTCAGAAAAATAAAACCATAAATACAACATCCCAATGGAGAAACAAGACATAATCTACGTCATGTTGTGCTGGTGCGTTTTGCTAGAGAGCTAGAGTGCATTTGATAGAGAGACAGATGAAGCTAAATACAAGGGGATGCTGGAAGACAAGCACATTTTATTTAACTAACATAAAATGTATAGAGGAAATATATTTTTCTACGTTTTTCACAATTCAACAGAAAAAAAACTCCTAAAAGGAATCATCTTTCCCACTATTAGAAAAAAAAACATGTTTATTGTAACCATTCACCATATTTTCAATACAAATGTTGCAGCATATATGCACTGACACCTTTTATTGTTTCAACAAAAAAAAGCCTTCAAAAACTTAAGTCATCTACAATTTAATTCACATTACATCTTGCATTTTATGTAGTTTACTTCACTAATGTACTGTCACATACACAACGCAAGTTAAGCAGAATACTGTTTAAACAAACTGATGAAGTTAGCTCTACCATCTGTTCCTGAGATATGAGTCATTTGTGTTTTATTTAGACGAGCTGTTAACTTAAAATAAAGAATGTTCAGATGACTGTACCAACATGGAGTGAAAGCAAACTTGTATGCGGTTTGTACATAGTCTGACTGTGCAGGTTATTGAAGCACAATAATTATTAAAGGGATTTTTTTCCTAGAAGATTGGACCTGCATCCTCTTGACAGGGTCCTGAAGTCAGCACAACATTATCCAACCCTATTTCGCCTCCTATGCCTTTCCCGCGTTGAGCTTCAAAGATAATCTGAAAGACATTTGGTTGAAACATTGTATTATTAAGTTGAAAAATCCATTTTAATACACTCCAGTTGAATAAACAGAATTGTAGATCTACATATTTGACAGCACGTGAGATAGTTGTTATGCTTTACTCATGCAAAGCTGTTAGTAAAGCAAATACTTGTCATGTCATGTTGACAATAATCTGAGAAAAATGCTTTTCATAAAACAGTGACTCACAGACTGTGGGGCCTCCTCCTTCCAGGCCACAGTGAGGAATTCTGTTTGCCAGCTCTGGTTTTTGCTTTGGCTTTGCTCCCAAACAGGGTAAGCATTGTTGTCCAGCAGCACCCTGAGCGAGCCTACATCATGACCTACCATTCGGTAGTCAAAGGTCAGGCAGAAGCTGCCATGTTGGGCTCGGTCACTGAGAAGCAATTTCAGCTTGGCCACATCTTTGCTGCCACCG